GGGTGATTTTCCTCTAGACAATGGGAAAAGATTTTTGTTTGTTTGTTTGAGACAGGGTCTCTCTGTGTAACCCTGGCTGTCCTGGAACTCACTCTGTAGACCAGGCTGGCTTCAAACTCAGAGATCCGCCTGCCTCCCAAGTGCTGGGACTAAAGGTGTGTGCTACCAACACCTGGCTAGAAAGAGATTCTTTGCCCAGCCCATAACTGCTCAATCGGACTTTTTTCAGTCCAGAGACCAACCACATTTAGAACTACACATTTGTGAGTCCTGATTGAATGTAATTCCTAAGCCACCTTTTGCATGTCCATCTTCCCCTTCATGGGAAGGGCAGGAAAGAGTTCAACAGACCTGCATGTCCACCAAGTAAACTGGAAAAGATGCTGTGTGCTCTAGGATACTAAGCCTAGTGGCTAACCCAGGAACTCCCATACTTCTTTTGAATGGAAGAAATGGACGGTGAAATGTTCCTATCAATTTGACACCATCTAAGGCTTTGAGCATCCAGCCTATGTTTCAAGACCTTGGGAAGCTAGAGACCTCTCTACTACAACCTTCTCCCTGGCTTTTGAACCAGCTCCATGTTTACTTGTGGAACTGATTCCATGGTGGCCTGATGTGAGGTTCTTACCTTGTCCCCTCCCTCTCTGCATCCAAACACCATCAGTATGAGCGGTGGTGTTGAAGTGGAGGGGCCGAGAGGAGCACAGAGATGGGAGCTCCATACCTTTACCTTTCTAAGCGGTATATCTCAGAAGAAGCTTTAGCCCCAGCCTGAGCCTCATCTAATACAGTTATGGGTTGAATCAGGTTTTCCCCAAATTAATCTGTTGAAGTCTCAACTTCCTGTATGTCAGACAGAATATGGCTTTCTTGGCACCGAATCTTTAAATAGCGATTAAGATAAAATGAGGCTGTTAGGGTGGATCCTCATCTGAGTGGTGTTGTTACAGGAAGTGCAGACACCTAAAGAGACCAGCAATGCATGGGTGCAAAGAAGCCAGCCGCGTGACAAGAAGGCAAGGGAGGAGGTTACTTCAGAAACGGAATCTTTGGACACTTTGATTGTGGAATTTTTTTTTTTTTTTTTTTTTTTTTTTTTTTTTTTTTTTTGGTTTTTCGAGACAGGGTTTCTCTGTGTAGCTTTGCGCCTTTCCTGGAACTCGCTTTGTAGACCAGGCTGGCCTCGAACTCACAGAGATCCGCCTGGCTCTGCCTCCCGAGTGCTGGGATTAAAGGCGTGCGCCACCACTGCCCGGTTGATTGTGGAATTGTGAGGAATAAATATCTGATAGTCAAGGTCACCCACTTGTCTAGGCAGACAAATGAGCTCAAATTTGCACATTGATTTCTACTTCACCACACCCATGATCAGAAGGCTTGCTGCAATCTCAACTCCAGCAGCCCGTGAATTGACTACTTCCCTACAGGCTTCTTTCAACATCTTGCTTATAGATCCCTCTGCATTCCCTGCTAATGGAAAATCCTCACACATGTTACAAACCTGTCCTTGCATTAGTGGACGCTAGCTGAGTAGCTTTTACCTACTTTTGGATGAGACTATTCGATCGTGTGTGTTAGTTTGTAGGAGTAGTGCTACTGTTTTTGCTCATTTGGCAAATGTTCAGGTAATTTTGTTTTATTTTATCATGGAGAATTTACATTTGTATATGTTCAAACTCATTTCTTTTATGACATTTGTGATTAAAAAGTCACTTGTCCCACCACCAGTCAGATGGTTCACAGGGGTTTTCCCCTGTTTTTATAATTCCATAATTTAGTTGTATTTCTTAATCTGACCTATGTGTATTCTGATGGTATGCTAGGGAATATAGACTGGTTTTTCAAATAGCGAACTTTCACTGCACACTATTCTGAGGGGAAATCCACTCAACAGTCCATTCAGTGAAAACACTCCATTTTCTAGGTTATTACACACCAGGATCTGACTATCGGTTATTCCATTTCATTGTTTATTTTTCTTCATCATTAATGTCATTGTCTCGTAATTGCTATACCAATTATATATTAAGCTACCTAACAGGGCAGATCTCCTTTCCATCCTTTGCATTTAAGACTCTCCCTATGTCTATTCCACTCAGTGAATCTTAGTAATATGTTATATTCTCCCAAACATACCATTGAGATATCAGTTAAAATTACATTGTCTAGCATATCTTTCTAATGAGAAAAACAGTGTCACTTTATTTAAACCTCTTTATTATATACCTCTCAAGGACTATTGCTAGGCATTTTATACCGTTACTTTTGTCAGTGATGCCCATTTTCCATACTGATTTTTTTTTTAATCCGAGACAGGGTTTCTCTGTGTAGCTTTGGTGCCTTTCCTGGAACATCACTCTGTAGCCCAGGCTGGCCTCAAACTCATAGACATCCACCTGCCTCTGCCTCCCAAGTGCTAGGATTAAAGGCATGCACCACCACTGCCCAGCCATACTGGTTTTTAATTATTAAATCACATGAAAGCTATTGATTCTGGAATATTATTCTAAGTATTGTCACTTTGTGGAGTTTTCTTATTGATCCTAACAGGATCTCCTAACCCTTCTTCTTTCCTTGTATTTTATTGCATTTTTGAGACACAGTCTCACTACATAGCCCAGGGTGGCCCGGGACTCACTATGTAGACCAGGATGGCCTCAAATTCACAGATCCACCTGCCTCTTCCTCTGAGTGCCGAGATTAAAGCATGTGCTAACATGACTAGCCTTCCGTTATTTTGTAAGGCTATAGTTAGATTATCATCGTGTATAGCCAATATGATTATGTGGAATCCTTATTATAAGTGCTTCCATGAGAGATTAAAAACTATTTCTTCACTTATTTTGTTTAAGTTCATGCTGTTTCCCAGCAACACAGATGTCCAACTTTCTGTAAGAGAACGTAACTTGATAGGCTGCTCTCCGATTGCCATGGATGGCATTAAAAGTGGGAGATCTGACGGGCCTAAGTCAATAGCAGAGCTTTCATCTGGGGTTCAAGCCAGGCCATCACCGTTAGAGAGCCACGCCACTGCTTTGCATTGTCTTGGCTCTAAAGAATTTGCCTTCTTGTCTTGGTTTCCATTAAGACATTCTTAAACCATGGTCTACGTCTACGGTCTTGAATCTACAGTCACACCTGTTTGTTAAGGGTCTTTTCAGGGTATTGCCTATGATAACACAGTAACTTTGTTAGACTTTTTTATTTCCATTACCACATTCCAAAGCCTGTTTATTTCAGGCGATGGCATCTGGGGACTGAGTTTCCCTTTTCTCTCCCATTGCTGAAGAAACTCAGAACAAAACTTGCTGCTCACGCAGAGTGATGATTTATGTTCTCCGAGCTGACACAGTATTCCCTGCATGGTTCTAATTCCTCTTGCCTGCTTTCTGTCTCATCATTAAAGCTTTTGTAGGTCATTCATTCTGCGTCACTTTTGGAAAGAAGGCCAAGCGTATAGGGTATTTTCTTTGCTGCCGTCACGTGATTAATGTCAGTGTTGCAAAGGAGCATGTGACAGGTGTCTCTAAGGAGGGTCAGTGGTGCCCAGTGGAAGGTGGTAGGGGCTGTCCTACTCTGACTTACCAGGGAGATTGTCACACAAGGATTTGGAGCAAGGGCTAGAGGGTGCGCATCCTTCCCCAATGAGGAGACCTACAATCAGCCCCTAAAACTAGCTTCACTTCTTGAATCCAAACTTTGGATTGCCACATTTTAAAAAAGGAAAGCTGATTTTTTTTAAAATGTTTACTAATACTTCATATTTTTAAAATATTTTGAATCACCGGGCAGGGGTGACACATGCCTTTAATCCCAGCTCTTGGGAGGCAGAGGCAGGTAGAGCTCTGTGAGTTCAAGGGCAGCCTGGTCTACAGAGTTAGTTCCAGGACAGCTAAGGCTACACTGAGAAACCCTGTCTCGAAAAACAAACAAACAAAAAAATACTTTGAATCAATAGAAAACAGGATGGTGGTTGCCAGAGTGGCACAAGGGGAATTGAGAGTTGTTCAATGGTGCAAAGACTCATTTATTTGGGGTAAATTCTAGAATTCTGCGATACAATCTAGTGCCTCAAGCTAATGATATGGCATTGGCCACTTAGAATTCATTGAGGGTAGGCCTCCTGTCAAATGTTCTTGTTGCAACAATAACATCAGCAACAAGAATAATTAGAGCAAAGGGACACAAAGTAACTTCTGGAAGGTTACAGGCATCACAAGTGAGTGAAGCTGGCCAAACCCATCTAGTTGTCTTGTAAGGTAGGGCCAGCTCTGGATATCAACTAAACCTCCACAGGCTGCTTAAAAGATAACAAGACCTCTGAACCCAGTTACTACCCAGTCCAGACCTGGGTCTTTGGTCTTTGAGACACCTGAGAACAGGAATCAAGAACCCAGTTACCAAGAGACAATTTAAGTCCTTTTCTGCCAAAGCAGTGATGTCATAATGGCAACAATGATTACTCAGACTTAAGCCTCTGAGAAGCCTGGTTTAGAATTCTGTCTTGGATTTTGTGAGCACAGATTAGTAAAACAATCCCTACAAACCGGAAACAGCCTTGGTGTGTGGATCTCTGTAGCATTTCTAGTACAAAAGAATAGCAAAGACATGTGACTCAGTCCAACACTTTGTTTCCAGAAGTTTCTTATCAAAACCCCTAAAGACATCTGAGCAGCAGAAAATACATGGGACAAGGACTTTCTACTGCCCTTCAGGTGTGTACTTCTACAGAATGATCGCCTGATTTCCAGTGTTGCTGTAAATAATCAAAGATCAAGACTTTCAAATGTGAATTAAAAAAAAAAGATTGAAAAATAAGATAGCAGGACTTTCTATCTGATTCTACCCAAGGAATTTCTAATTTTACCCCCCTCCCTTTTTTTTTTTGCCAAGAAAAAACATGGCCATTCTTTGCTTTGATTCTTTCAGATAATAAAACAGAGCCATTTGGGAGAACACATTTGTCTTGTTTAATCTTTTTTTTTTTTTTTGCAAATTAAAGAGAAATCAGCTATTAACTCATTTATGATGTTCAGAATATATGATTACTTTAATTCTTCAATGCTTGCTTCCAGTTTTTCCACAAGGGCGCCAGAAAATTCACCCACTTTCTCTTCTTTTTTATAAAACTGGAAAGTTGGGAGGCAAAAGACATCACGGTCCTGCACCAGCTGTTCACAGTCATCAGCGTCCACTTCCAGAAACACCACGTCCTCATGTTTCACAGAGAGAGAATGGAAATACGGCCGCATGGCTCTGCAAGGCCCACACCACGAGGCGGAGAAGTCCACAGCCACCAGTTTCTCCCCAGCCTCTTTAAGCGCCTCCTCAAATCCCTCCTTGTCTATGACCACTCTCACAAAGTCTTCCTCTAGAGACACTGTTTCTTCTTCCAAGTGTGAGATTTTGCTTTCCTTAGGTAGCTTTTCATCTTCTGAGGACTTGATAATATTACCTTCCTGGGACTGGATGGTGTCTTCTGGGGACTTAGTGATTTCTCCCTCCTTGGAGGGAACTTTTAAGGGCTTGTGGATTTTAACATCTTCGGACGCGATGGTGTCCTGTGAGGACTTGGGGATGTCACTCTCCTTGGAATGGATGGTGTATTTTAAGGGTTTGTGGATTTTAATATCTTTGGACAGGATGGTGTCCTGTGAGGACTTGGGGATGTCACTCTCCTTGGAATGAATGGTGTATTTTAAGGGTTTGTGGATTTTAACATCTTCGGACAGGATGGTGTCCTGTGAGGACTTGGGGATGTCACTCTCCTTGGAATGGATGGTGTATTTTAAGGGTTTGTGGATTTTAATATCTTTGGACAGGATGGTGTCCTGTGAGGACTTGGGGATGTCACTCTCCTTGGAATGAATGGTGTATTTTAAGGGCCTGTGGATTTTAACATCTTTGGACAAGAGGGTGTCCTGTGAGGACTTGGGGATGTCACTCTCATTGGACTGGATGGTGTCTTTTAAGGGTTTGTGGATTTTAATATCTTTGGACAGGATGGTGTCCTGTGAGGACTTGGAGATGTCACTCTCCTTGGAATGGATGGTGTATTTTAAGGGCCTGTGGATTTTAACATCTTTGGACAAGAGGGTGTCCTGTGAGGACTTGGGGATGTCACTCTCATTGGACTGGATGGTGTCTTTTAAGGGTTTGTGGATTTTAATATCTTTGGACAGGATGGTGTCCTGTGAGGACTTGGGGATGTCACTCTCATTGGACTGGATGGTGTCTTTTAAGGGCTTGTGGATTTTACTATCTTTGGACAGGATGGTATCCTGTGAAAACTTGGGGATTTGACTCTCCTTGGACTGGATGCTGTCTTTTAAGGGATTGTGGATTTTAGCATCTTTGGACAGGATGGTGTCCTGTGAGGACTTGGGGATATCATTCTCCTTGGACCAGATGCTGTCTTTTAAGGGCTGGTGGATTTTAGCATCTTTGGACAGAATGGTGTCCTGTGAGGATTTGGGGATGTCATTCTCATTGGACAGGATGGTGTCTTCTAAGGACTTGGGAGTATCATCTTCCTTGGATTGGATAGTATCCTCTGATGACTTGGGATGGATGCTGTTTGCTGCAGGATTGTGGGTAGTCTCTTGTTTGGGATGGGTGGTTTTTGCCAAGGATTTGGGCATGTTGCTATGCTTTGTCTGCATGGAGTGGCCCGACGTCTTAGAAATGTTTTTCTGTTTTGGATTATCAGCTTTGACTGAGAACTTTGAGGTGTTGCCCTGTTTCAGCTGTGTGGTTTTTGCTGAAGACTTGGAACTATTTCCATGTTTAGGATGGACGGTATTTTCTGAGAACTCGGGGGTGTCACTAACCTGTTGTGAGATCTCAGACTCCTCTGTGGACATATGGAGTGTGTTGCTGACCATGGGAACAATGGCCTTCTCTTTGGCCCACTTTGTGTCCAAGAACCCTGGGACCAGAAGAGCCTCATTTTTGGATAGACCCTGTAATGGATTTTCTGAACAAAAATAAATAAATAAAATAGAAATGCAAAAGAAGAAAGAAAAGACTGAATATCTAAACCAAGGAAGACTTATGCTTAAAGAGATCATGAATGAATCTTATGAATAATGTACAAATCTGAGTAACTTCATTCATCAGAGAGCCAGGCACCAGTGATGCTTATGTGGGTCTCAAATGTATTTCTTGCATTAACAACAACTTTCCTTTCTTGGTTTAACCCAGCCACCTGCTCCCCAAATTCATGGACCCCTAAGGTAACCCTCTTCCTTCTTACCATTGGTGTCAATTTCCTTTGCTAGCCCTTGATGGTTTAGTTTCATGGCTGGCTCTTCAGGGGCTCCTGCTTGAACACTGTTCATGTCCAACCCCTCGTCTTGGCTCATTTTTTTGGAGGGGGGTCCTTCTTAGATTTTTCTTCTAGAGCCAAACTAAGAACAAAGCGTGCTAACAACGTAATGCTCAGGCGGCACTCCACAGCTGATGTTCCCAACCAGGACTCCGACAGGAGCATGTGAAAGCTTCATGGCAGCCTCAGGGCTGGTTGTCATGCTGTGGGAGGCTGTGGATACATAAACAGGCATTATTTCCTCAAGTACAACCAACCACTGAGGTAAGATCCATTGTGATCAGCACCTAACAGATGGGAAAACTGCCTCAGAGAAGTTATATGGCCAAGATAGGTCAGGGTACAAAGCCTATGCTCAAATATTATTCTGGACTCTACTCTTTGCCAAATAGTCTGTCTACACTAGGAGTATAAACCAACTTTCTTATCATTTTCCTCCAGGATTTTCTAGCACCAGATTTCTCTTTATGACTCATTAATTATGTTAATTTCTTTTTCTAATACCTTAATCAAACAACTGAAGCTATATACTTTGCAAAAACATAAGATTTATTTAGCTCATCGTTCTAGAGGTTTAAGGGAATGGCACCAGCATTTGGCTCGTATGAAGGATTCGTGGCAGATGGATACGAGGGCCCCACAACGAAGAAAGCACAAACAAGAAAGTCCCATGTCGACACCGGAAGCCAGAGCGTGGAAAAGAGCTATGCTTACTCTCTTAGTTAGGGTTCCCATTGCTGTAATCAAAAACAACATGGCCAAAGCAACTTGGGGAGGAAAGGGCTTATTTGGCTTACATATCCTGCATCACAGTCCACTAAGGGAAACCGAGGCAGGGACTCAAACCGGGCAGGAATCTGGAGCTGATGCAGAGGCCATAGAGGGGTGCTGCTTCCTGGCCTTGCTTATCTTGGCTTGCTCAACCTGCTTTCTTATAGAACCCAGAACCACTAGCCCGGGGGTGACACCACCCACCATGGGCTGGGCCTCCCACATCAATCACTAGTTAAGAAAATGCCCTACATACTTGTCCACAGCCCAATCTCATAGAGGCAATTTCTCAATTGGGGGTTGCTGTGGGATAATGTTCTTGTACACTGTAAAGACTTGTCCCTTGAATTGGTTTAATAAAATGCAGATTGGTCAGTAGTCAGGCAGGAAGTATAGGTGGGGCAACCAGACTAGGAGAATTCTGGGAAGAGGAAGGGCAGAGTGAGGAGTTGCCAGCCAGATGCAGAGGAAGCAAGATGAGAATGCTGCACTGAGAAAAGGTACCAAGCCACATGGCTAAACATAGATAAGAATTATGGGTTAATTTAAGTGTCAGAGCTAGCTAGTAATAAGCCTGAGCTACCGGCTGAGCATTTATAAGTAATATTAAGCCTCTGAGTCAATTATTTGGGAAGTGGCTGCTGGGTATTTGGGAACAGGCAGGCAGAAGAGAAACTTCGCCTAGCGGGGATCCCCACTCTGAGATGACTCCAGCTTGTGTCAAGTTGACATAAAACTAGCTAGCATGCTCTCCTCACAAGAACTAACTTAGGATCATGAAAACTACCTTAATCCCTCCTGAAGGAAGAATCCACAAAGACCTCTAGACCACCTCTCAACATTCCTATACTAGAACCAAGCTTCCAACTCAGGAACAAACTACAGTACTCACTGTAACTATCTCCTCTGCATCTCCTCTGAGGAACACCACAGGACAGCCAATATGCATGTCTTGCCAGACACCCTCTTCCTGTCCCCATGAGCCCTACTTAATTCTACCATCCTCCTGCCTTTCACCTGAAGAGCAGCTCCCTGTGGCTAGTCCCAGTTGAATCAGCCAAGGGTACCTCACTATGCATAACTGTACTCACATTACCTTTACACAAGGCTCAGGATGGAGCGCAGCAGTAAAGTTGGCATGGACTGAGTTCCATCTTTAGCAACACACACACACACACACACACACACACACACACACACACACACACACACATACACACCTTTGCAGATAGAATTCTGTTATTTTGAGGTCACTTGCTTGTTTTCCACATTTACTCGGCATAGCACATCTAGCCCCAGAAATGTGTGTGAAAAAGAAAGTTTTGCATTTAAGAAAAAGTTTTCAATTTAATTTTATGTATAAATTTTTTGTTTTGCCTGCTTGTATGTCTGGGCACCACTTGCATGCCTGGTGCCCACAGAGGCCAAAAGAGGGCATCGGGTCCCCTGAAATTAAAGTTACAGACAGTTGTGAGCTGCCATCTGGGTGCTGAGAGCCAAATCTATGTCCTCTGGAAGAGCAGCCAGTGCTCTTAACCACTGAGTCATCTCTCCAGCTCAAGTTTTGCATTCTTGACATATACCTTTTTTTTTTCTTTTTACAAATTTTCATGTTTCTTTCACCACGCTATAAGAAGTCAAAATTACGAAGGTTGTCTAAACAGTGGCGTGCCCCTGTTGTCTGTAGAAGCTTTGAAAACGTCTACTAGGAGTGATTTCATTATCACTGGGCTTTGACATCAAACATTCTATTAAGGAGGAAAGTAAAGGTGGTATCAGTAAACTCATTTTTTTTTTTAAAGCATTTATTTATTTTTATTTATTTATTTTTTTTTAGTTTTTCGAGACAGGGTTTCTCTGTGTAGCTTTGCGCCTTTTCCTGGAACTCACTTGGTAGCCCAGGCTGGCCTCGAACATTTTTTTAATCGAATATATTTTATCTGTTCTTTGACAATTTCAAACAACGTGCCTTGATCACCTCTACCCCCTGACAGCCCCCCTTCCCCACCTCCCCAGGCATTCTCCACACATTTCCTTCCTCGCTTCACGTCTCCTCTTTGGCAGCCTGCTGAGTCCGATTAGCACTGCCTGTTGGGACCTTGACTGATCTTGTCGACTTGGTCTTGTGTAGGTAGCCGCTGACTGCTGCTGTGAGCTCCCAACAGCCCTGTCACACCCAGAAGACGGCATGTCCCAGCGCCCCTCCCCCCTCCCGGATCCCTGCCTCTTTCAATCTCTCTGCTCTGTCTTCCCTGATGATCCGTGAGCTCTGTGCGGTGTGGAGGGCTGAGGCCCAATAGGTCACTTATTCTCCGTGCTCAGACGGTTGTTGCTGTCACGAAAGGGATATCCTTGAGTGTGGTGATATTGTGTCCCCCCAATATATTGTACATCCTAATAAACTTATCTGGGGTCAGAGGACGGAACAGCCACTAGACAGACATAGAGGCCAGAAAATGGTGGCACACACGCCTTCAATCCTAGCATTCTGGAGGCAGAGATCCATCCGGATCACTCTGAGTTCAAAGCCACACTGGAAACAGCCAGGCATGGTGACTCATGCCTTTAATCCCAGGAAGTGATGGCAGAAAGGTATTTAAGGCGTGAGGACCAGGAACTAGAGCCTGATTAAGCTTTTAGGCTTTTGAGCAGCAGTTCAGCTGAGATCCATTCTGGATGAGGACTCAGAGGCTTCCAGTCTGAGGAAACAGGATCAGCTGAGGAATTGCCAAAGTGAGGTGGCTGTGGCTTGTTCTGTTTCTCTGATCTTCCAGCGTTCACCCCAATGCCTGGCTCCGGGTTTGTTCTTATTAATGAGACCATTTAAGATTCGTGCTACACTTGAGCCTTGTTCATTGTGATGTAAACTTCGTTCCTGGATGTGGGCTTTACAAGGCCACAGGAAGTGAATGGGTTATGACATTATGATGTAGATGAGACTTCCTAGCCGAGAGGAAGAAGTGAGAGCATCTCCCCTTCCATGCCCTAAGTGGGGAAGCCAGAAGATAGACACATATCTCCGCCTCTCCCCTCCAGCTTGAAGCATCAGCATAGATGTTGAGCTCACAGGAAAGCTAAAAACAATGGTCTCATGTTCTTAAGGGGGAGGGGGACAGGTCCGGGGCAGGAAGAGCCACATCCAGATGGATTCCAGAGCCTATCCAGTACTCTTCCTGGATCACAACATCACAACATGGGCCAGCAGCAGAGGGTGAGTTCATGCCTAAGACAGTGGGCAGGCCCTGGCCCTTCCAGCACACAGGGGTGATGCCAAGGATCTAGCAGTCCTGCACATACCTGAGTGGGGCTGGAAACACTTAGACCAGTGGACCATGGAAGCCTAGAGAAAGCAAAGAGGCCATACTGCTGGGAAAGGGGTTGTGATCAGAGGCAAGAATCACTCTGTATCAGAAAGAGTGCAGTGTCTCCTGCTACGGTGAGGGATTGCTTGTGCTTCCCAGACCAGGGCTAAGCAAAGCCAGGCCACTTCATATGAGAAAACAGCAAGAAGTCAGGGTGCCGAGCACAGTGGTCCCATATAACCCTGTGCACCCACCTGCATGGAAAGGGGAGAAACCTGAATCACAGGGTTGATGCTACAGTGAAGAGAGCCCTGGGTGCTGAAATTCTACGAATGAGCACGTTTAATTTGACAAGCCTGCTCCTCCCAAGCCCCCACTTAATCCCATTGAGGAAAGGCCCAGAGGGAAAATTAGATCCATTTTAGAAAACACTTGAAGCTACATTACACCTGCCTATCTTAGCGAAAGAGAGGGAGTCTGCACCCGCCTGCTGCTGTCTTGGAGATCTTGGTCATGTGTGAGGCTTGGCAAAGCTGTGCTGTTTGTTTCTCCCTGGCTTATGCAGTTCGTGGATTTCAAGACACTTGAAATATTGACAGTGCTGAAGAATTTCCATTCCACTTGTCATAACGGATGCTCTCCTTCAACACCGGCACGTCTCCCAGTTGTCAGGAACCCTTATGTGAGTCTGGGTGTGTCTTAGGAAGCAAACAACCAGCTATTTTCAGCATGAGGTGGTTTAGGCAGTTATGAAATGGCCTGAAAGGATCTCATTTGGTCTCCAATCACTGCACAGTACTACAGAACAGAACTGCCCGTGGGGCTGCAGCCTCCAAGACTCCAGGAAGGCAGGGAGGTAGGAGGCCACCACTACCACCACCCAGGCTGGCTTCAAGAACTTTCTACTAGAGATATAATCGCAGAGACAGCCTCTGGATTTCCTCTCCGCTCAAAGCTAGAGGTAAACATGGGCGTTTGCTCCTACATTCCTTTCTGCAAGGCTCCCATGGGAACAAGCAGAGCCAGGTGTAAATAGCAGCAGAGCCAGGTGTGAATAGGAGCGGAGCCGGGTGTGAACTGTGGCCTCCTCAAGCAGGTTCGTCACTAGGAGAATCTAAGATGCACCTAGAACCC